ACAATAAAATCAAGAAACTGTGTCAATAGTAGTGAAGGTTTTTCAGTCCTAATGCAAGTGTAAAGGGTGCGTGTACAAGTGACTTAAAGTTACTTGTGCTGACAGCGGTGAGGGTATTTCAGTCTTCCACTGAGAGAGCTCCTCAGCTCCTCTACAGTCCTGTGCAGTGGGTGGGAGGTGTTGTCTATGATGGAGGTGACTTTGACTAGCACCCTCCTGTCCCTCACCTCCTCCACAGAGTCCAGGGGGCAGCCCAGGGATGTATGTAAAAGTGCCCATTCAAAATCCATTCATCCCGGTCGGAACAGGGTTTTTCTGAGTGGAGTTTGCATGTTCTCGTAGGTTTCCTCTGGGTGCTCCGGTTTCCCCTACCACTAAAAACATGTAAACATCCAGAGATGGAGGGCAAATTTCCCTACAGGAACAATAAAGTGAAGATTTACATACATTTTCTAGTACTTGCTCCAAGAGATTGCTCTGAACGAGTCTAGGATCAAGTTAATTTCAGAACATAATAAGATAGTAATAAACAAAATTTAGATACAGAAAAAGTGTGAATAAACTAGTCACATTTGAACAACATAATCTCTTTAATACATGTTGTCAGCCGCTGGTTCAAAACTACAGGTTATCTGGACATCAGCACAAACAGACAAGTTACAGACTACAGTCTAGTCTGGGTCTCTGCTGGATGGAAAAGCAGCAGAGTGACAAAGAAATGGACAAAGAACTCTCGTCTTATACCATGATAATTTGAAACACATGTGACCATATGTCCCACCTTCCTTAGGTGAAGACAATACCTTCTCTGTTTCAGGACAAACAAATAGCCCCTCTCAAAGTAAGCCTGAGGCTACTCTAAACAGATGTTCTCTGCGTTCTTGCCTTAATTTAACTTCCTGTGTTAAATGGCTGGGGGATGGGAGAATGCTCCATCCCACCACACAGTAGCTATCTAAACTTTGAATATATTCTAATTCACTTTAATGAAAATCCAACAACTCTACTAACATTCCCTCCTTTTTTTCATTAAAAGAATTAATCACATTCAATGTTTAGTAAACCAACTTAAAGATGGAACACAATGAAATTAATACAAACACAGTATTACATTTGAATCCAAGTTGCATCGACTCAACTTAAAGACCCCTCTTCACATGTGTCTTATAAAAATCACATTGGTTACAGAAACACACACAGAAAAGAACTCAAAAAAAAGTTTTTTAGAGATCATTTCACATTCATATGTAATTGCTCCATATCTCCCCCCTGTTTGAGACATTAAAAATGGCTCAATAACTGAACATAATTCCTAATTATTCATGTGTATGAAATGAAAAAGACACAAATACCCAATTTACTCATGTAAATTAATGTAGCATCAACATTTTTAAACTAAACGTTCATTTGAAATGTATTAACCTGGAATGTTTTAACCTGAAATATTTTCACCTGAAATGTATTAACTTGAAATGTGTCAACAAATTACACCCCACACCAAAAAGCCTATTGTCCAGTAACGCCTGTTACTGATGTCACCCTGATGTCTTCTGCAGCCAGCAACGTCCAGCACCATCCAGCACAGCCCCATCATGTCCAGAAGCCTCTGTCCTGTTCACACACTTTAGAACCGACAGCAAAAACTGGAAACCTCCAGTCCTTAGATCTTTGCACAAAGGTGATGTCTTCGGTCAACCCAGTCTTTCAGATGTTTTGGAAATCTGCAAAATGTCCCAAACACACACAGTCAAGTTGTTGATTTGAGTCTGACCTCTGGATGACCCTTTGCATCATTGCTTCTGTCGTTGCAGCATTTAGCCCTGGTTTGGCCTGCTGATTTGGCTTAGTTTGGCTTGGTTTGGCCTGCTTTGGCCTGCTGATTTGCTGGTTGATGATTGGTGGGGGTGGGAGTGGGCGTCTCCTTCACAGGAATGAACTCTGAGCTTTTTGAGCATCAAAAGTGGTGTTTTAGGTGTTTCCCTCAAACAAAACACACAAAGTACACATTTGTTAATACATTTCAGGCTTTGTTCAGTAAACCCAAAAGAAAACCTTAGCAGTTAATGAAAACTGTTGCTGAAAACAGTCCTATTTTCTTGTCTCAGAAATGAAAACATCACAATTAACTATTGAAATAATGTATAACTAGTTATATTCAGAATCAAACAGATTTGCATTTCTTTGATGTAAACATTAAACATGCTACAGTAACTTCCCTTACTGTTGAATTTAAACCCTTCAAATGAAACTAAACATATTTATTATTAAAATCTGAAAAATTAAACTGCTTATTTTCAGAGTGTTTTGAGTGTCCACTTATCTGATTGTTCTGAGTCAGCATCAGTCAGAGAGGACCTTCTTAGGCGTCTGATCCGTCGTTCCCAAGCACAGCACTTGAACTTGTAATTGATCTGTGAAGTTTAAAACACTCTCGTGCCCAATGGTCAAAAGAACCACAATTAAAGCAGCCTTGCTTCTTTGTGCCACTGCTTGGCTCTCTCCTCCCCATCTGGATGCACTCTGCTCCCAGACCTGTCTTCCTGGTTGGAGTGGAGTGAGGCAGTGGCTGTGAATGGAGCTGTGGCTGGGAAGGACCAGATGATCTGCCCCCAAGTGTCTCTCTTTGACTGGCTGTGATGGACTCAGAAACAGAAGAAAACATTAGTGTTGACTCACTCATGACTTCTTTGCATTGTTTAATCTTAATACATGCATCTAGAAACTTCTTTTGCTGTTTCAACATTTTTCCCTGCACATCTAAAATGTTTTTTAAATCACTCAGCTTTCCCGAACTGAGTGAAGCCATGTGTTCTTCACAAAAATCAAGTGTCAATTCTAACCTGCTGTTAACATTACAATTATCCATTGCTACTTCGTTAGTCTTTCTCCTAACATACTCAACACTTTCTGTACAATCCCTCTTCCAGTGTCCACTCTTGTGACATTTTAAGCATAAATCATTGCTTCTATCTTTACTACCACCCTTTCTTTTTCCTACCTGAAACTGACTCCTCTCTCGCTCTCTCTTCCCACCTTTCCTATTCATCTTATAGTCTGTTAGTTTAGTCAGTTAAGTCCCAAACATAGAAGACAAACACTTACATGCAAAACCTGAAGTAACAAGCAAACAAATACTACTCACATAAGAGGAAATGTTAGTCTGTTAAATCTTACACATAAAGACAGTTACTCACAAAACAAACAAAAACTCCAAATCAAACCCAAAAATTAACATAAAAGTCTACTTGTGTGTACAAAATACCATCTTTTGTGATCATAAGCAAACAAAAATCAAAAATCTGAGCAAACTGAGTCTTATCTATCATCAATCTAATTCAGTCTCAGCCTAATCCTTTTGAGCTTGTACCAAATGTTGTAACTTTAAAGTTGTCCAATCACAAATTTCACAGCTCAAGTCAATTCAAATCTATCTATGATTCTCTAATCTCATTACCAAATGTTTTCACCAGTAAAATGTTTATCACTGGTTCCACCCCTTTTTAATTATTTTTGTTAATGTAGCTAGCATTAACAAAAGTAGTTAAACTATAACAAACATACTCCACCCAACTAGAGTTGAGCAGACGGGAGGGACAGAATTGTGAGCAAGGGAGAAGGGGGATGAGGGGAAGGGGGAAAACAGGGAGGGGGGGGGGGGGAGAGGGGAAAAGGCAGAAGGGGACACAAAGGATGCACCTCAAACGTGCACGCACTCACACACTCACACTTTAGGCCTTTATATCCAAATTTCAATTTCCAATTTAAATTATTATTAAAAAAATTGTTGTCGTCTTATTATGCAGGCTACCACAAAGTTCTACCAAAAAGTCACTAATCAGCTGAAGAAAAAATCACCACTCTCAAAATGTTCCATTTTCCCTCAAATGGCCAGATCTGGTTTTCCAACTACACGTATGCGTCCATAGTGCTGAATTTGTAATAGCTCCCCGACTATTAGAAGGATAAACCCCGTTATCCTAGGCCTAAGAAATAGCCCTCGACTATTAAAAGGATAAGCCTCGTTATCCCCGGCCTCTTTTTTTGAGTCTTAGAAGTGCGTGATATCTCACTGCCCCAATGCTTTTGTGAGGAGATAAAATGGATTTCCTGCCTTCAAAGACGATTTAAATTTAGTTTCTTTTTTTTTTTTAGGAAAAAATAGTTTTACCTTGTCCATGTGGATGTCCAGAAACTCTAGTTCTGCCGTCAACTTCAATCCGGAGACTGGCCATGCCTCAAAGATGGAGTCCTCAAAGCAGTTCTGAATGAAGAAGACCTCACCGCTGCTCCAACTCCATGTTTGAGGCATCCTCAGCTCCGCAGAAAAGCATGTTGGCATCCGGCGCAAGAAGGACCAAAATATGTGAATAAACTAGTCACATTTGAACAACATAATCTCTTTAATACATGTTGTCAGCCGCTGGTTCAAAACTACAGGTTATCTGGACATCAGCACAAACAGACAAGTTACAGACTACAGTCTAGTCTGGGTCTCTGCTGGATGGAAAAGCAGCAGAGTGACAAAGAAATGGACAAAGAACTCTCGTCTTATACCATGATAATTTGAAACACATGTGACCATATGTCCCACCTTCCTTAGGTGAAGACAATACCTTCTCTGTTTCAGGACAAACAAATAGCCCCTCTCAAAGTAAGCCTGAGGCTACTCTAAACAGATGTTCTCTGCGTTCTTGCCTTAATTTAACTTCCTGTGTTTAATGGCTGGGGGATGGGAGAATGCTCCATCCCACCACACAGTAGCTATCTAAACTTTGAATATATTCTAATTCACTTTAATGAAAATCCAACAACTCTACTAACAAAGTCAAAGTTATGAAGTCAAAAAACGTACACAAGTTCAATAATTACACTTCCAAAAAGAAAAGCCGTCTAATTGACTGCTCATGGAGTTCTAGTGATAAGAACCTACCCAACTTTGTGATGAAGCCCGGACATCTCTTCACTCCTCACTGATCCTGATTCTAACCTCTGTTTGGCAGATATCCGCGGGCTGCAGAACTTCATGGACTCTGCGTCGCGTCAGGGCCTGGACGTGTCTCTGCAGAGAGTGGACCGCAACGTCAGCCGAGTCTTCAACGATCTTTTCAACATGATGAGGACGGAGGAACTGAACCGCTACAGAGACACGCTAAGGAGGGCCGTCCTGCTCATGAGCCCCCGAGGAGCCCAGGTCTTCATCCACCAGGTCGGACTCTCTTCATACTCCTCAAACACAGGCTTTCTTCATTTTATTCTATTCTTTCAATCAAGCAGAGTTTATACATTCAGTAGTTATGAGGTAGACATTCCTCATTTGATGAATACTTTTGTGCACTGTTGTGTTGCCTACTGCAATCAGTATTTGACGGTAGTATCACCATGTGAAAATATATTACATGTATTTTTTTTTTTTCTGATTTTTATTTGCAAAGGTGTTTCTATACATACAATTTGTCAGCTCGAGTGGGAAAGAATGAAACGTGTAGACTTCCACCACATACACATCATTTAAATATGTTTCACTATGTTGTTTCTATTCAGAGCCTTTTTCTAATTTAAGGGAAAAAATGTAGTTGAAAAGGTTTAGTCGAGTATAAGACCCAATAGACCAATTAATCAATCAAACCCAAAGGAAATGTAGTAACATGACGAAATAGCTATTAATGTAGTAAAAAGACCAAAGCGTATACAGTGGCTGCATAAACCATATTTTGGATGTGTGAAAGAACATTTTTTAGAATTCAACATATTAATAAAATCTTCATAATTTTGTTGTTTGTATAGGATCTGACATGTGGCTGGCCAGCTTGGGGAAATTAAGCTTTTCTTTTTAATTAAGCAGCAGTCAACGTCAACAGTCGCGTATGCAATAAATGGTGAAGTTCTTTTTAAGAAAAGATAGTGGATTTAATTTAATTGCGCTTTGTTACAACATTGTGAAAAGTTGAAGAAAGTTCAATATGTCTTCTCTCTGAATAGACTTGAGTGATTCCTCAAATAGACCTGTTAATCACCTGCGGGGAAGTCATTAAGCAGTTGTAGCTTTTTGAAGAATCGCTCAGGTCTAACATTAACAAATGAATCAATTTCTTTTGAACTTTTTTATTTTATTTATTTAATCTGTATATAACGGTAATGTGACCATTCTATTTAAAACATATTAGTCGTGTGTGTGTGTGTGTGTGTGTGTGAGAGAGCGAGCGAGTGTGTGTGTTTGTGTCTTTGTGAGAGAAAATGTGAGTGTGTATGTTTGTGTATGTTTGTGTGCGTTTGTGTGTGTTTGGACTGGCCCTCAGATGTAAAGCATTTTAGGCTCACGTAGCTGTACATTAATTAAATAGTAAATGCCCAACAAGATTACGTTGCCCTGTTAATTGCTTGTTATGTGGCAAATTAGAAGCATGTTGATACCGGGATCTGAAATGTGTTGCTGTAATTGGCGCCTAGTTCTCCCCTTCCGACCTTTTCCCTTGTTAAAAACTGATGAAACAACTTGCAACTGTCTCCAAACTCCGTGTACCAAGGTTTGACAACATCCAAAGCAGATCAGATGGCGGGTAGAATTGGCCAGAACTCAGCTCCGATTGAGGTGCCAAGATTATAACATCAGATTTTGATTTAGAAAAAACTCGTCTTAGAATAGGAAGGAATTGTAAAATACTGATTCCTGTTTTCTTGTGCAAGTAAGGAAGTTTGTTTTCTGATCTTCTACCATTTTTATAACCTCAGGCAAAGTTGACACAGGGGAGAGTCCTGTGTGTGTAAGCCTGGAGGGGTTTTAGCCTGCTCTGCTCCTCTTCAGAAGCCTTGACTTTTTCTCAATGCATTTGTGTCGTTCCCATCACTTTTATATTTGAAGCTGCACCTTGATTATGGTTGAGTTTGATGGCACATTTGATGAAATCGTCAGTCTTGCATTTGTTAGTGTAAAAGATGCGAGGATGTTCTTATGACATGTTCCCAGAATCCACACTGCATATATCTCCTGACTAATGAGCGGTTAGAAGCAGGTGATACCAGGTGGTCAGACCGTTTCATATGCAGCTAACAGATTTATGGACATTTGGTGACGTTGTGGATGTCAGATCCAAGCGGTCTGTTATTGCCAACAAACAAGACCTGTCATTTTCCAGAAAGTATACGTAAACATGAAGTTTGAAACTCACTTAACGCCAGCATCAAAACATTCAAAACATTCATATCTGTGTGATGACTGGTCTTTACCTTAAAAAAGAACCAGCATTGATGGATATTATCTGTATTATTTTTTGCTTGCACTGCTCTGGACTTCACATCAACACGAACCTTTGACTTTGGTTGATTTGTCTTCTAAGGCTGTATTTATTATTGTCATTATCTCTGGCTTCTCAGCAAGAATGTTCTGGGTTTGTACCCCAGTTGGAAAAGAGCCTTTCTAAGTGGAGTTTGCATGTTTTTCCCTCGTTTTGCATTGGTTTCCTCCAGGTACTCCGGTTACCGCTACCACTAAAAATATGTACACAGGGGGGCTGCACTACGATGACCGCTGCTTCTGACAGGTTGCCCTTGTAGCATTGAAGGATGGGCCAAATGCAGGGGACAAGTTTCAGAGGACAATATAGTTTAACTTAACTACAATAGATATAATTACTGTATATTCTAGTCTTAAGATCCCTTGTTAAAACCTGTAAAAAACACTGTCCCTTCTAATCTTGAAATTAGCTTTGTATCTGTCATCTAATATTTTTACCATGTGCTATCATTCCTATAAACATACAACATGAATAAAATACATGTATTAGAAGTGCACACGATATTAAGATAAGATAAGATAAATGTTTTTGATTCCACAATGGGGCGAATAGGGGCGACAGTAGCTCAGTTGGTAGAGCATTGGCCTTAAGGCCAGAAGGTCGTGGGTTCAATTCCCACCTCTGCACCTTCTCCACCGACTCCCACTGATGACTGCTGTCGTTGTGTCCTTGGGCAAGACACTTAACCCCACTTTGCCCAAAGCCCCCACTGAAAGATCAAGGCTATGCTCTCACTCAGAGAGCAGCCGTCCTCCTGTGGACTCACCACCTGCAGAGGGTCAGTGAGGGGCTGGTGCTATGAGACTTGGGTGGCAGCTCTGATTGCCACCCCCCTGACCCAGAAATGGATTAAAGGGAAGAAAATGGATGGATGGATGGATGGATTTCCACAATGGAGAAATGTACATGATGTTATTGGCCTGCAAATACTAACCTAAAATACTCAGGTAGATCAGCTCTTTAAATGTTAGCTTGATTTGAGTTCTTTATTTAGAGCTTGTTTAAGATTTCACACTTACTTTAGATGTATTTATTATTATTATTTAAAAGTCTTAAACAATATATATATATATATATATATATATATATATATATATATATATATATATATATATATATATATATATATATATATATATATCATAAACATTGATCACTTTTGAAAATAATAATTCATCCATCGTATTGTGGGGACTGACCTTTGAAAAATAAATATTAAGAGAATGTATTAATTTGGGTATATTTCATAGATCTGGTAAGTTGATAAGTACCTTAAGCATATGATAAGCAGTGTTGGGCACGTTACTTTGAAAAAGTAATTAGTTATAGTTACTAGTTACTTCTCCCAAAAAGTAACTGAGTTACTAACGGAGTTACTCCACTATAAAAGTAACTAGTTACCAGTAAAAGTAACTATTGCGTTACTTTTTCGTTTTGTTCTGGAACATAATGTGCACCCGACGTGCGCATTTTTACCTTTAACAGTGCCAATATTTCCATCTAGAAAAGGCTGTTTTGCTGCTGAAGTCCTGTTCACTCTTCATCTCTCACTGTGCTGTAAAGCCCGCCACTGTGAATGTGGAAACACCGGTGACGAGCGGTGAGGCTGGTGAAGCACTGACTTCAGTCCAATCAGATGAACATATACATCATATAAATCAAGTGGACAATTTGTTTGGCTACAGCAAAATATGTTTTATGCCCGCATTGTTTGTTCATACAAAACGCAAAACTATGAGTTATGGGTCTTACCTTATAGCTATACCTTATAAATGACCTGCACAGTCCACTTCGGTTCAGACCAGTTCCTTGTTTAAATCCAGTGAATGGTTTGAGCGTAGATATGTAATCCTCCATTTGGAAATGAGTCCAATAGGGCTCTATGCTCTTACGTCACAAATCAAGATGGCGGTTAGCGAAGGTGAAAACAGCGACCCCGGCCCCATTGAAAACACTGGCAGATCGCTGACATTAGGTGGCTGTAATTGGACTTGAGAGAATTTATTAAGGTGAATAATTTTCGGATTGTGATCAAATGTCATTTGATTACTATGATAACCTGCCAATTGAGGCAAAAGTCCGATATAAACAGAAATTGGACCTAATTGGTCTAGATACATGTTTGTACAAACTGCCAAGAGGTACTTGGATTAACGACCCAACTAAATGGCCAGATTTGGAGTACGGAGACCTATATACCTATCTCATTGACACACCAGGTAATTTCGTAATCAGTTTCATAGTTAAAGCTTAAGATCTTTTTAGTTACTCATAGTTATTCAACCAATTCTGTCCACTATTACAAAGAAAATGTACACAGGATTGAGCACATTGAGAGATTACATTATTATTGCAACAGGCTTATGAGCTCTGTGTGATGTGGAATCTGACCCTTGTTATATCTGGATTACTGCTAAACATTCTTATCTGAAGAACTGAACGTATTTGTTTTACCCACATTGTTACTGCTGTATCTATATCTTAAGCATGCGTCAAGTGATGACATTTTTGTTCTCATGCACATTGTTACATTGCCTTGTATCCTCTTGTTCGATCTGGAAGGACTCGAAAATAAACCGTGGTACAGGTGCAATTGCAACTTCCTTGTCTTCATTTCTCGACAGTGACTACAATTTAGGACTATGACTCTAACTTTAAACTTTGCTCCTGACAAATAACTTGTGACCCCCATTGCAGAAATGAGCAGGTTTGTACCGGTAAACATGTTCAAAGAAGCTTATACACTACTTGTAAACTTGAAATAATAATTGAATATTATAATGCCTTTCATGATAATAAAAGTAATGCCAACATCACACAATACAGTAAATATATACATACGTTTCAGATGTTATTCCAGAAGGTTCAAACACCCCTGCTGCCTCAGTGACATGGCCGAGTACAGTTAAAAAATATGCAAGAAAGTAATACATTTGTGAAAACTTACCAGAGACAAACATGCAAAACAAAATAAGGCCAATCAAAGTGTTGTTATCCATTTTATTCTTTATAGCTGTAGTTAAAAAGACGAAGTCAGTTCCAGAACAAGCTCGGTAACTCTGCAGGGAACTATGTTGGGACAAAAGGGCCCCCTTCATCCAGATGACTTTGGGGGTGGGGGGTTCAAGTGAAAGAGGGGGATGTAGCAGGTGGTAGGAGGTGCAAAAATACATTTCATTGAGAAAGTCCAATTTCTGGGCGTTTTTACTGGTTTGTACAAATGTCACCAAAAATGAAAACGTTTTCAGGAACACACCCCATGAAATACCAGTAAAAAAATTACACTTCTTATCATTTCCTTCCACACAGGAAGCATGAAGGTAAGCTGCACATTTCAGTCTCTTGTTGTCTTCAAGAAGGTTTGCTTTTTCCTTGCGCAGGTTGTCAATTTCCTCATACAGCTGCTTCCGTTCATCGTCACCAACCGGCTTGGAAAGTGATGAGGGGCAAGGAACTGATGTCGGTGTATCAAGGCTGTCTTGAAGTACTGCTGTCGGTGTATCAAGGCTGTCTTGAAGTACTGCTGTCGGTGTATCAAGGCTGTCTTGAAGTACTGCTGTCGGTGTATCAAGGCTGTCTTGAAGTACTGCTGTCGGTGTATCAAGGCTGTCTTGAAGTACTGCTGTCGGTGTATCAAGGCTGTCTTGAAGTACTGCTGTCGGTGTATCAAGGCTGTCTTGAAGTACTGCTGTCGGTGTATCAAGGCTGTCTTGAAGTACTGCTGTCGGTGTATCAAGGCTGTCTTGAAGTACTGCTGTCGGTGTATCAAGGCTGTCAAGTACCCTCTTCTTGGGTGGAGTTTGTGAAGGGACGTGAAGTTTTCTCTTTGAGGCAGCAGCAAATCTCCGGAGCTTGGACTCTGATGATTTGGAGTCAGTTTTGATGTGCTTGAAGATGGAGGGAATGAAGTCAGGATGCGTAGGATCGGTACTGGGTCTCCCTGAAAACAGAAAACAATTGAATATAAATTAATCAGGGTAGATCTTACTAGATAGTTAAATCTATTTAAACATATTAAAACATAAATCATGCATCATAATGGTTTACAGTTCAAGTGATTTATTGGATAATAATCGCTTAACTACTACAGGAATAAGCAATAAACGACCTTTCGCTGTGAGCCCCAAGTCCGTATTAAATATAAAGGCATTTCTATGACCAGAGCTTCATTTAAAACAATTTAAAATCAAACCATGTATGCATACAATGTACAGTGTTTAGGTAATCTAAATAGTTTTACATTATGCTGATAATGTGATGTAACTGTTCCATGGATTTTTTTATTTACAGAATTCAATTCTATATGTAAACTTAAGATGTGATTTAATAGGTTTATATATATATATATATATATATATATATATATACCATTAGGTGTGCTCGCAGCTCAGTGCTCAACATCCATAACATCTTCCTTCCTTTAGATTAATGTTCTGATATTAAACCCTTTAAACTTTTAACAATTGTTAAAAGTTTAATAAGTATTGCAGGCTGTAATAACATACATCCATATCAACAACTCAGTCACTGTAGGTTGGCAAATTAACATAACAACTCTGCTAATATCTTTTAACAAATTTGAGTCGTTCCACAGAGGGTGGTTGGTTTACTTCACTTAATTTGTTTATATCGGTCTTTTGCCTCAATTGGCAGGTTATCATGGTAATAAAATGACATTTCATCACAATCTGACCATTATTCAGCTTAATAAATCCTCCCAAATCCAATGACAACCACCCAATGCCGTTGTATTCACCTTTGCCAACAGCTATTTTGATTTGTAACTAGCACCGGAGAGGCCAGTTACATCGCTAGCAAAGTTGGTTGTAGCAAAAATATTTAGACAGCAAAGTAATCATGCATTTTATCATAATCGAAAACGATTCTTACCACTTAAGAAGTGTTCGCTACAAAGGACTGTAAGCTTGCTTGGCCTCCAATCCGAACCGTCCGGATTCACTCTCTTCACACTGTTGACCCACTTTTTCCAACGTTCAGGATGTTTCGGGAAGGTAAAGAATGAAAATTTCTTCCCCATCATGTTATGGTTTGAACATCCAACCGCACAGCAGCTTTTAGGCATGATTTACTGAGGAAAAACGTAATTTATCGTACACAATCTGTCATTCTCAGGCAAAATCGCTGTCTAACACCGCCATTGTTTTCACCTCCAGCAGTGCGGCGCTCTGAAAGTACCCGGATGGGAAAAGAGCCCTATGAGTTTTAAAAAGTAAAACAAAACGCGTGTGTCCTCCGTAAACTCCTCTGTTTTGCTGCAGCCGGCTGCATCCAATTTCTAAAATCAACCGTCTTACACTTCACCTCTCTTTCTTATCATTCCTATAGTAATTGAAAAATTACCCTATGTGCATTTTAGATTATGTAAAAATGTGTTATATGTATGTTAGCCAAACCTGTTGCTGTCCTTAGCAGATAAACCAGGAAGAGCAAGGAGCTTATCGATGGAATTGTATGTAGCCGACTTCTGCGCTCACATGCGCTCCTCTGTGGCTGACCTCACGGTGATACAAGCCGTGGTTGAGCGCGATTAAGACCCATATTTGTTTCAAAAACACAATTTATGAGCCATCCTCTCAACTGTAGACATGTAGATTGTAAAGGAAATATGTTTTACATCAGCCAATAATTGCTGAGAGGTTTTCTCATCCTCCCTTCTCTCATGACAACACGTTCATTGTGCGTCTTGAGTAACGCGCAGTAACGGGATGTCGGAAATGATAACGGCGTTATAGTTACTGTCAAAGTAATTAGTTAGATTACTCGTTACTGAAAAAAGTAACGGCGTTAGTAACGCCATTACTAGTAACGCCGTTATTCCCATCACTGATGATAAGTGATTGTGACGCTAATGCAAAACATGCCTCTACCCACAGTAGTGCAGTAAACAAGAGACACATTACGAGTGGCAAAGTGAAATTAATATTGCCTTCGGGCTCCTACACACAGGGTTGCAGACGGCACTAAAGAACATTATTCAGACCTGCAGTGGACTAAACAAGGGGGACGCATCACTGAATGGGAAAATGGTGTTTGTTTGGCCAGAGTTCAAGTATCAATAGCCCCCTCCCTGGAATCGCTAGCTGCACGGCTTGACCTGATGAATTCGGTGGCCTGCTTCAAACAGAACCACCGCTGCTCCATCTTCTCTCCGTTATTGGTATCATTCGTTAATTGGCTGGCCTTTACAAAAAACAGCTCCTAATAAATGACCTGCCAGGGCTACGGCGAGCCTAAATACCAGTAAACTAATAATAATGGATGCCGCTGGTGTAAAACAAGAAGTGTTTTTCAGGACTCTCCTCACTGTCTGGAATGTGTGAGTGGCTTCTTTGTTCTCATTATTTGCAAAAGTTTCAATCATGATAACAACTGGTCAAACAGTGATGAGAAAGTAGAAGAATGAAATGGCACGGCTTTGGCATAGAGAGATGGAGACGCGGAAGGACTGACTATACTGTACGTCTGACAGTGTGAGTTCAGCTTGTTCAGGATTGCAAAAGAGATCACGCAACATATTTTTTTGAATGGTCAAACTTGTGTCTTTATAATTATGTGTCGTCTATCTCAGTATATTTACAGCTGTCTCGTGTGCCATATCGCAAACATTGTCCTGGAGTTGTTCTCTGATCCATCCATGCTAATACCAATAACTTCTGGAACAAATATTTAACTCACATGACTGTATTTGCAGCCAGTAATTTTCAAATTTTGAAAAATAAGTAAATAATTTCGACTTCTCCCTCTGGTGGTGGCATAGGGAGTTACAGGTGCAAAGCATATTTTTTCCTTCGTATTTGTTACAGCATATACTTTCTACGGAAAATATGACGTCACACTCTAAAACATTATCATTATGTTTCATTATCATAAATATCTCATTATCATGTTTAATGGTCAAAAATAATGCATCAGGTTTTGTATTTTGGAGTCCAGATAACATTTAACAGCGACGTCACAAGTGAAATGGTCGATAAGTTTAACGCATTTTTAGGCTTTACAAAGTTTTGGAATATTCAGAGAACACTGCTCAATCCATTATTCGGGAATGGAAGGAAGATCATGGTGCTGATTGGAGGGTTGAGGTGTGGAGGAGATTGGCCGATGTCAAGATGGAGTTCTCTGATGCTCTGGAGAGGTATGGCACTATTGAGTATAACAACTTTCCCTGTAAACAAAATGCAAAAATAATTAAATAGATAAAATAGGAAAGGAACAAAAATAAAAAATAAAAAGTAATAAATAAAAATTAAAAAGTAATTAAAAAAAAGTCAAAAAAGGACAAGAATGACAATAAACAGTAATGATATTATACAATATCAATATGATTCATAGTTGTTGATTTTCCGTTGTTTTTGTTGCAGCTAAAGTGAATTTATGTGTATGTAGATGAGGTGGAAGTTCATAAGACTTACTATTTCCCACTCCATTTCAGGTCTCTATAGAGATATGTATTTATGCCAAACAAGTGAATCTTGTATGAACCCGAAAAATTAAATACATGAAACAAAATTAAAATGCATGAACGAGGAGGAGGAGGACATGTAAACAACTTCATCAAAAATGTATTTCTGTCAAAGTAATGTCAGGACATTCGAGGCAGACAGTCACTGCGGTTCATTCTGTAATTAAAAGAACAAAGAACATGTTTTATCGAGCGGCTGTGAGCGTGGATTTCAAATCGTCGACAAGATAAAAGCGTGCGTATACTGTCGAAAATGATCCGGCATATTCAAATTATTTTTATCTCCTCTCTTTAGAATGAAATTATGCTTCTTCTCCACACTCAAGAGTTCAGCCACCCACATATAAAAGCCAGAGAAGGACCATAAAGAGCCTCTAATCGGAGGAGTGAGTGAGCCTATACCGAAGACCCTATAGCTGTGATTAAAGAGCAGGGAGAGCAGGGAAAATCAATTGGGGTGATGCAACACAACGAAAAAACTTAAGCAGCCCATCGATGACCCCAGAAAAACAGACCTGAGTGGCTGTTGTTAACAATAAAGAAACAACAAAAATTGGACAAAACTTAAAATGTATTCCGTTCTATGGTTTCAATGGAATTAGGTTTTTTTTTAAGTGGCACTGGTGTCTCCAAGGCTTTATAGAGGGTTTAGTGCTTTTGCCCTTTTGACCTCTTTGGCAAACACACACACCCACATGCGTACACACACACACACACACACTCTCACATACACAAAATGCACACAAACATACACATGCATGCACACACACACACACACTATCCCTTACACAAAATGCGCACAAACATACACTCTCACATACACAAAATGCGCACGAACATACATATTCACACACACGCTCACACTCACCTACACAAAATGCACACACACACACACACACACACACGCAAATAAACAAAATACACACACACACACACACTATTTTCAGGCAAGTGTCTTAGCTAAGGGTGCAATGAAACTAGCACCCCACCGTGACACTGATTTGGTCGGTTTGAAGACCAGGAGCTGTCTTATTGGTTTGAAGAGCATTGTCCAACAGAAATGACCGTTTGGAAAAAGTACTTTTAAAACATGCTGAAAATATTGTTTAATTCATGTGAACTATAAGAAATTGACAAATCCCTGTCTGAATATTTAATGAGATTTTCTTTTTTGTCAATATTATCCACCCACAACAAGCTTCAAATAATTTAACAACCAAGTTTTACATTTCCCAAAAAAGTGTATACAAAAGTTGCTTCAGACCCTGTTACTATTTTCAACAGCTGATTTTAAATTAAACACCGCAAACTTTCCGTTGTGTTTAGTGTGAAAAACTGGATTAATTTCCTGGCTTCAACAGGTTTAACATTTCTCCAGACCTGGGGCCGGCGCCATCCATTTTTCGAGGAATATTGCAATGACTGATTCGGATGATTCTTTCTCCATCTCTATATTAACATGCGCGCTGTCAACCGCAAACACAACGGCAAGTCATAAACATCAGATGCGTCCCACTTATTTATTGTAAATCCACTTCATTATTAGTAGAAGCAAAGCACTTAGTGGCATATAAAGACTTTCTTTGGAAAACCACGCAGCCTTTTAACTTTGATTAATCGCTGGGCGCTTTGATCTTTTTTTTGTTTTCTATGTAACAGAGAGTTATCAGCGTGCACGCTTCCCCGCTCATGCACGGGGCTGTTCTTGTGAAGATTCTCATTTAATCTTACCAATTATAGTCTTCATCATCTCTCATATACTTTGCATGGATTGTCATGGGGACAGGACGCGCGGCGCCTTTTGAATATGGAAATGTATCTAACTCAAGTGGTGATTGGTTCATTCATCAAAGCTCGGCGAACAGAGGCTTGTTGTGCTTGCTTCCTGTCAAGGGGAGAATGTAAATAATGGCTGAATAGGCTGTACATTCGGGAGTCTTAAAGTAGCTGTGGATTTAGCTTTCCCTTGATTATTATTTCTGATTTATTTATATATTTCATAAAGCATGTCCCTGTGGCTTAAATGCAATGCTATTATACTGTGACCAAATATTTCATAATAGCTGTTGCGACACACTTTTAAAGGTGCGCTCCCATTGTCTATGAAGTTATTTCTTTGCCTGGAGTGTTCGCAGTATGTTGCCGCAATTTACATAATAGTGGCTCTTTTTGTAGTTGGATAGGGATGAAAAATTACAAATGAAATGTTTGGCTCATTCACAACCTAGGAATAACAAAACAAACTGTGGGTAGTCTGCATTACAGAGTTAGCGACACAGGCTGACGTGTCCAAACAACTCGCCTTTGGACCCGCCTCACGTCATGTGTTTCTTGCCGAGGCGTGTTCCGACTAATTATTATGGTAAATGAGACAGAAAACAGCGGTACAGCCTGTTGCGTTCATGTGGGTGAGCTGAAATAACACAAGGGACAAAACTTTTCATAATGTCGTAGCGTAACGATTAGCAATATAGTTTGGGGTTTTGAAAGATGCTGCTCTTTAGCATTAGTCCTGAGAACTGGACTAACAGTGTTGGGCACGTTACTTTGAAAAAGTAATTAGTTATAGTTACTAATTACTTCTCCCAAAAAGTAACTGA